AATGGTAAAAAACTTTAGAGCTGCCAACTTAGTCTTGGGGGGAGCACCCATGAAAGAATAAACAAACCATCCTGCAAAGCAAATGCAACCAAAAGGGTGTCACGATAAGGGCACAGAATACACCTTGGGCTGTATTTACGATATTATTTTTGATTTGTAACTTCTTCCTGTGCAGTAGTCACCCAGTGTGTAGAAGGGTGGTGCAATCTACCCCACATTGCAATCTAACCTTGATAACTGATTAAGGATAAAAATCAGCAGAGCAGAGCTGGGAAAAACTGCCACTTTCCAAAGGCAGGGTTAGCATGAGCCCAGGTCCCACCTGACTAAAGCTGTAGGAGTTCAGCACCAGCTGTGTTGATGGATCTCAGTCTGAACTGTTACAGATAGGGGGCAGGGACTGGCCTGATTAAAGCTCAGGCCGCCCTCTTTTCTGTGATCAAACCCTGAACCGTGCCTATGCAATCTGCAACACACTCTGGAAAGTGGTAGGAAATCAGAGCTGCCTTCAGAAGACGGGTGGAAATGTGACCTGTTCTCAGCAACCCACACACCACCCTGTTCTTTGAGCCCGTGAACAGATCGTGCAGAGCTTTCCTTTCCAAAAAAAAACAGCCCAACAACTCTCTGACTTTGGCATAATTGCTTTCCTTATTTTGGTAAGTGTTCCTGTCGTCCCCCGGGAGACCGCAATTGTGCCAGTGAAGACAAAACTGGAATACAACCCCTTTTCCACACGGAGAGGCAGCAGTGCAGAACTTGGCTCTTTCTGCTCTATATGGGCTTGAGAGAGTCACTGCTCCTGGCGCGTCCTGCCGTACCCTTCTCGCAGCTACGCTCCTGCGGCGTCCTTGCTGGTACAACAACAGGGCGAAGGCAGGTTTCAGGATTCATTCACACACTCCCTCATTTCTAAGAGCCATCATGTCAAACATTTGTGAAAGTAGTGTTGAAATAAACAAAAGTGAGCTGTGGCTGGGATTTTCCCATTTGTGTTTTGATAAGGAGAGAAGAAAAACAGATGCTTTCCAGCCACAGCAGATTTGTTCTTTCGTTCTTTTGTTTCCTATCAGCTCCTGATTCCTTTCTCCTCCCAACTGATGCTGCCCCTTCATTGCTAGGGTCCGGGGTCCTTCACTGAGCCGCAGTGTAAGAGGAGAGAGGAGAAAAGAGGAGGAAACACCTAGCTTGACTGTAGCTCACAAAAAGGGGAAAATCACCATTGGGTCTGTGTTGGCAGCAAGTGCTATATAAGCCTTCTCTCCAAAACCTGGCTGGACAAGGTGCTTGAGAGAGGATCACAAAAGCAGCCATGGCCTGGGAGGGGAGAGGGGCTGCCTGGGCACAGGGGGAAGCTGAGGCATCAGTCTGATGTCCTGGCTTCTACAAGGAAAACGCTTCTCACCTCGAGGAACAAACCAAGTCCCGAGAGGCCTGGATTTATCCAGGGTCTGCTGCTCTGCAGGACCTCCCTGCTCCTGCTTTCCCTCCAGTGAATGCAAAGCACTTCAGCAGAACTGAGGGAAGCAACCTGATGTACAGGAGGGAACAGCTCATACACAGGCTAGTCCTACAAAACCCTTGTAAGGGTTATGGGGATGGCGTGGGAGAAACACATCACCTTGCAAACAGCTCCAGGTGTGCCCAAGCCGTCTGCCATCTACGCCGCCTGCCCCAGGGCAACCGCTGTGGTACAAAACCCACGTTGTACTGTACACTGTGGTACCAAAAACATTGTACTCTAATGCACCGTGGTATAAGATCTGTACCACACTGAGGGGCAGACCATAGCAAAGGCTCTGAGTCTGCAAAGCAGAGCTGGGTGGTAGAGAAGGAATCGGTCTCTTCATGGAGAGAAGCTGTTCATGTAAACATCCCATATGGCAGGCCTTTTCTGTTAATATTCATTGTGGAGACCAGGTTTGGGAGCTACATCTATGCTACCCATTACACACTGGTGGAGGCAGCTGTGAAGCTGCTCTGGCTCGTGGGTGTGAGGGTCCTCCTGTCTTCACCCACCTGGCACAGCAGCTCTCCTGACCCGGGGACCCTGCACGCAGCTCTGCAGTGCTTGACAGGAGCCAGCACACGCTCGCTTACTGCTTTTCACAAATACAGCCAAGCTTCGTTCTGTGCGACCATACCATTATTCCACCAAACCATAGCTTTTTAGGATGTCTGCTATTCAGATGGGGCATGTTTGTTTGTAATGAAATAAACTGCTTTAAAGTCGTTTTGGCATAACTTACGTGTTTGTGATACACACCATACAAGAGCTATAAAAAATGAATGCTATCACAAGGGTAAAAAAAAAAACCCAAATTGTTTTCCAATGGGCAGGCAGGCCTATACACATACCTTCCACGTACAATGGTCATTATATCCCCATAACAGTTAATAGATGGGAACTCATTAGATAGAGATACAGCAGTATGTGCCAACGGACAGTCTGGGTGATGTGCTATCAATACACCACCCATGACTGTATCTTTTCCTCCTGGGAAGTTAAAAGCTTTATGCCCTGTGTACAGCTGTGCCCTATTTGTAATCTAAGCTTCTGGCCTGGCTAATCACCACCCATTAAACTCCCATTTTCCAGGTCAAACCCCGTGTCTTGATCATGCAACAGACTGAGCTGAGAAATACGTCTGCGTACGGTGCTAGAAGTGAGGGCAAGGCAGAACTGAATTGCATAGGTTCCCTAAGCCTCCGAGATACTTAACAGACAGATATGTTTGGATACACATTTAAAAGACGTACTGAAAAGTAGATGCCCCTTATCCCAGAAATCCTGCTGGGACTATCAGCAGGGGTGCTGCAGCTGCCAGCGAGCCTCGGAAGAAATGCTCAGGGGAACACGATGCAGGATGACAATATTTCTGCAAAAACATGCATCGACCCATGGAATTTAGTAGGGAAATGACACATGTCACGGGACTGCTAATTAACAAAAAATCAGTTACAGCAGTGAGGAAAAGATCGGTGTTAAATGCACAGGCCTGCAGGGTAATTGATTTAGATTCCTGTAAGTTTCAGCCCTAAACAAGTCTACAGACCGGTGTCTCTACAGGAGCATGGAAATGATGGGCCTCAGGAGGACTTGAAAGATCATCTACGCCATCTTCCCCTGCAAATGCAGGGCAGCTCTCCTTTTGCCCTTCTGGACACATCTCTGTCTAACCAAAAGTGAATTTTGCACCTTGGATTTCTGCCTGTCTCTTTCGCATGACAACCCTGGGTCAATACTACACGGGCCAGGACTGATGTGGTTAAGCAAAGAACGGCTTTCAGGGCGAATTCAGCAGCGGATGTAGCCGTAACATGCATCCGCAAAGAGCTGTGCTACGACACAGCCTCGTCCCCTGCACACGTGAGAGGGAGCATCCACCGGGGGAAGTAGCAGAGAGACCACAGTTTTACAAGCGTGATTTCCTCCTAAATCCACAGCTGAAATATTCCCAACCCTTGGACTCTCAGCCTTAGGCCCTCTTTTTCACTAGATCAAAAGACTGGTACCCAGAATACCGGGTTGTAATTTGCCTCTATCAATGAATCAGTAGAACTAATATCATGCATTTAACATCAAACGTTGATGAATTTTCATAATGGCCTGGCAGAGTGAGTACTCTTGTCCTTATGTTCCAGATGTGCCCAGGTTGGGGGCAGTCAGCAACAGACCCTGAAGAGGTACAGGGAGAGCAGAGGCAGATTTTCCCTGGAGTTTTTGATCTCTTCAGTTGAATTAAACTTTATTACTTGGACACATAATTCTTACTAAGACATACTTTAAGCCAGACTTTTTATTACATATTGTCGTACATTACTAAATTATTACATAACACCACTTCTTCTATAGAAGTCCAATGTTTACATTTTCAAGAACTAGTTGGCACCGGCAAAGTGTGTGTCTACATCTGCTTGCAGATAGTAAACTGTTGCCATTAGTTTTTCCAAAAAATATACAAAAACATTTCTCTGAATCTTGGCTATTCCACTCCCCCATCTTTTTAACTATTCTTAGTGTAACTTGATCTGGTGATGCGTCTTTAAACTGCAAAATCTAAGGTCTCTGAGCAGTCAAAGGACAGACTGTACCCACTGTCCTTTAAGGGTAAGAAGAAGCTGCCCACACTGCAGCCCCCTCTGCACATCCCACCTCACGCTGGTGATGCTAGATGGAACCTTTACCTGGCAAGTGTCTCATCTTTTCCATCCATAACAGCTACAAGGGCTTTTTTTTTTTCTTTAAGGCAAAAAAAGTAGCTCCTCTAAAAGGAAAGAGGAAGCCAGCAGTTTCGAGGCGTCTCAGTCCTGCCCCATGATGCTTCTTCCTGCCCGTGAATTTCCACCTGCCCCTTCTGCGTATATAAGGCAGCACACGTGGGGTAGAACTGTTTAGTCGCCTGCCTCCGTCCAAAGGATTAGTAGCAGTGGGAGTGATGCTGTTTCTTCTTTCCTCTGCAGTTTGCGGGAGGTGAAGGAGCTCTGGCTGGACTCACTCGTTGGGTAAGTACTCCCTGGGATTAAGCCTGTGGTGTCGTGATTGAAGTCAGTGGAGTGCTCCAGACACAGCTGTACAGAGATGTACAAAAATGTAGATGGGGGAGAGGTGCGCTCACTGCTAAGTGTAGCTCGTGGGCAGAGCTGACTGAGTTGCTTAGCCTTGTGTTTGCAGATTAACAGTCTCATGTAGCTGTCACCACTTGCTCATTTTTTGCATGGATTAAAAATGTAAAGCTGTTGTTTTTCTGTTTTAATCAAGAGGCAGATAGAGGAGCAGGGCAGAGTGCCTTCCAGAGAAGGGCTTTATGATTGACTTGTGTGGGATATCTTGCTGGTTCAGGATCATACTTAAATGCTAGACTGGCTTGCAGGGGAGAAAGACAAGAAGGGTGCAGTTTTACAAAGCTCTTTCTTTGTCCATTCCCTGTTCAATAAACAGGCAAACAAAAGGACCGAAGGAAACCAGAGTGTCCAGATCTCCCCCGATCAAACTCCTCATGAAAGTGTTAAGCAGCTGTAACACTGTGAGTGTCTTTATTGTTTCAGCTCTGTCAACAGAGAGATTTTGCAAAGCTGTGATTTCTAAACCATGGCATTCAATTACTCACATAGTGTCTTTGTTTTCTTGCCTAGTCAAAGACACTAAATGCTGGGAACATGGAGAGTCTGATTGAGTGCCAGTTGGAGGTAAGCAGCCAGTACATTTTCCCCGATCCTTGCTGGGTACTGATGTGAGATATATTAGCAAAGCGGGGGTGGCCCCTGTAGGAGCTGCCCGCTGCCTACCCTTACCCACGAGCGGGCAGAGCCCTTTGAAGGCAACTCCATGCAGCACCGTGCAGACGGAGCTGGGCATCGCTGTGAGCGGCCAGTGCGTTCCCCAGGCTCCTGGGGAGCTTTGCTCAGGAATGTGGCAGGCTCCGAAGCCATTAAGGCTCCCTGGAAAAGTTTGGGAGGAAATCTCCAGTGCCAGGGGAGGACACAGAAGGACAGGCTGTGTCCGGCTGCGGCTTCTCTGCATCAAAAGAGCAGCCTGAAAGAGCACAGGGTTGTGACCTGCCTGGCAAGTCTGGGCTGGCTGGCTGCAGGGTTTACCACAAACCCCTCTATTGGGCAGCGAGGCAGTGTCACTCCTGGAGCGAGGCACCTCTTCAGCAGGTGTTCGGTTTTCTCTCGCTATTCCCTGCAGCCTCCCGCAGATTTCTGAGGAGCTGCAGCAACTCGCTGGTGGCTCTCGCTTCTGGTGGCAGCTCTGTAACTCCAACACGCTTCTTGCAGGCTGATGCCAAGAAATGCCCCCCGCTGGTCCCAGCAGATACTGAAGACGGACTTTGCCACTCGACTGGTGAGTTTTAAAAACAAACTGAGGAACTGCCTTCTTACATAATGCTTGCAAGCTGGCGCTTCTGCAAAACCACCCGAAACTGCCCGCCTCACCTCCCTGAGAGCAATCCACAGCCCTCAGCCCCATCCAGGAGATGGCTTAACCCCCGGAGTGCCACTCACTTGCAAATAACGTCTTTCCCTTACGCTCAGTGGCAGATGTGACACTGCTGAGTGCCAGAGGTCTTGCATCCCTGTTCCCTGGTCCTCAGAGCTACGTTTCATTGTGTTCCCTGGCAGCAATGGGAAGTAAATGTGCTCCTTTCTCACCCGAGCATCACCACTGAGGTGTGGCACTGTAAGCGAGTACAACTACCAGTGGTTGCACGCCAGAGCAAATAAACCCTATTGGCAGCAGCAACAGCACTTGTTTTCTCTCAGCATGCAAAACCTCGGCACCTGTAAACAACCCGGAGGAGACCATTAGCAGGGCAGGGTCAGATTTGGAGCAGGCCATCATATCAGACCATTTTTCAGGAGTATCAGAAGCAAACATTTTATATGATGCTATAATGTTAGGTGACTTTCTCATAGCTTTTTAACCCCTCCCTACCAAGGACTTGTGCTAAGCCACAAATACAAGTCCTGAGAACTTCTCATTTGCATAAAACAACTTCATTTTGGAGTAGAAGGCAAGTCCTTTATAGGAAATTTGCAGAAGGCAACTCCTTTAGAAAGCTTTCTAGCAAAAGGATCCTTCTCTCACTGTTTCTGAAAAGGAAAAAAAGCCACACCTCATCCCAATACAACCATCATCTCCAAATTCCTAGCATGGCCTCCTCTTTAAGATGCAGGTGCAAAACCCACGCTATGAGATTTCCGACCCTGAAGCCCATGAGGCCCTACTGTGATGCTCCCATCCTCTGGAGCAAGTTTCCCCTTCCACTGGCTGGCTGGCAGGGGACAAGCACCAGCTCTAGCAGGACCACTATCATTAGAGCTGGCTCCGAAGCTGGCAGAGCTGGAGCCCTATGTTTTCATTTCAGCCTGTGAAAGAGGCTGAAAAGCAGGAGTCCCTAGTTCCACTCCTGTCCTAAAGCTGCGGCACAGTCAGACCGCGCAGTGAAAATTGTTGTCATTGCCAGCTGCCCAAGACATATTTGCCTTAGATAGTTATCACAGAAACCGCTGCAATATCAAAAATCTCTATAAATGCTGTTATTTCTGTGCTTTGTATGTTCCCACTCTCTAAGAAGAAATACTGACTAGAATGTAAAAAAAACCCGCCAAAAACAGGAAAGGTGGTGTCCTTAGAGGGATGGTCACAGTTTTACAGTTTAGGTGGTTGTTTCCTTAGTAACCACTTAGTTGTCTTTCAGTTTCTCCCCGTTTAGTTTGAGTTGTTTCAACATACATCTCTGCACTGCACACAGATGGATGGCCGCATAGCACGCTCTGTTTTCTTAAAAAATTGATTTTTTGCTTTCCTTTTGCTTGCAGCAGATGGGACAAAGAAAAGAAAGAAGGTGATATCACAGTCATTTACTCTGAGACGTAGCTCTACCAACGGGAATTCCCCAGGGCAGCTGGACTCGGGTGCCAAAATCGCTCTGTTTGGCCAGCCTCTGGCAATTATCTGTGGGGAAGATGACACACTGCCCCAACCGATCCAGGTAAGCAAGCCTGGCGATACAGTTATCATACCTCTGGCTTCCAGTGCTTGTGCTGCAGCACCCAGGTACTTGTGCTGCAGCACCCAGGAGATGAGTGATTTTGGTGTTTCCCCTCCACACACACTTCTGATAAGCTCAGGGCCCATCCCAGATGTAGAAAGGGTCAGGTCTGCGGGTGTTGTGCAGCCCCCCCAGCTTTCACTGGAAGTCACTTTGAGTGAAGACAACCCAGGACCAGGAATAGAAGATCTGCTCCTTGGTATAAACATCTGTGATTCTACAGAAGTCATTTAAACGAATCTTTCAGCAGCATAAACTTCCAAGGATTTCTGTATTTCCCTGAAAAAAGTGTTCAGCTATGGACTGCCACCGACAAATACCTAAACACTATCTCCTGAATAAAAACGATCTTGTGACAGTTCTCCCACTGAGTTTGCTTTTCCAATAGACAGGCTTTTGTCTCTTCTAAGCAACATTTGCCTGACTTGGGAGGGAGGGGATTTGAACCAAGACTTAAGCCATCCCATGTTTCCTTCTGGAAGGAAGCAGGGATGACTCCACTGAAGTTAGTGGAATTCAGCAGTCCAAAAAGAGGGTGGGTTGGGGAAAAATCAGGTTATTGCCCATGTAATCTGCTTGGAGCAAGAACTAGGTACTGACCTAATTAGAGCACAGTGAACCTCCAGACAATTTTTCTTCTGTTTCTAAAGAAATGTTCACTTGGTAAAAGACCTTCCTTCACCCAAGTAACAGTTCTCCCATTCCTGTTTGGTTTTTTTCCCTGCAGGATCTCCTAGCTATATTGTATATGAAAGGACCTTCCACTGAAGGGATATTCAGAAAAGCTGCCAATGAGAAAGCACGAAAGGAGTTGAAGGAAGACCTAAACAAAGGCGGGAACGTTGATTTGAAAAGCAAATCTGTGCACCTGCTGGCAGTGGTCTTGAAGGTGAGCTCCTCTGACCTGCAGCGGTGGGAGGGCATTGCTAATCTGCACGGGACCACTTCAGTGCCAGAGCTGACCTAGGTGGGACTCCAAACTAAAGCCAGAGTGAAGCCAGGCTCAATGTTTCCAGCTTAGGAAAGTTTGGCATTTTCCTTTTCCACCTGATTTTCAGTCCCACTTGTGCTGCTGATTTCCTGCATGCCCACAGGAAACTCACTTTGTCCTCCTCCTCAGCATCCTCCCCAGGGAGGAATACTGAGATCTATGGGTGAATGAAAATCAGCTAAGAGCTGGGTCCCACTACTACACCAAAGCAAGTGTACTTGGCATGTTCTTGGGGACCCCACTGCTCTGCCAGTGCTGATGGTCAGATAGCTCAAGCTAGCCTGCCTCCTAGTGAGCCCATGTTACGGTGATGCTCCCTATGTGCTCAGGGGTAGTGAACAAAGCCTCATCTAAATCCCTTGGCCTTGCAGGACTTCCTCCGAAATATTCCCTCCAAACTCCTGTCGGCTGACCTCTATGAGAAGTGGATGCAAGCTCT